AAACGTTATTATACCCGTATCCCCTACGCAACCGTTTGTTTATGTTCAAATTTCTTAATGCTTATATATTTTTTTCATTCTGTATCTCTGAATAATATAATTATTATCATTACTAGATTTGTTCTTATACCATTATTATCGTTATTAGCATCGTTAGAAGGAACAGTATTTAGAGACTACATAATCATGTTCTTGTTTTTTATCTTTGCAATCTCCGTGATGTGTTATCAGAATGCCTTATGGCTGTTTTTAGCAACAACTATGGAATATATTTTCATCATGGGTGGCTTTGCTCTTAACGAATTTGACACGGGTGCTGAAGTTATATTCAGTGATGGTAATGATACTAATACTGCAACTACTATTATTACTACTACTACTACTACTTTACTACTACTTACTACTATTACTACTACTACTACTACTTCTACTTTACTACTACTACTACTACTTCTACTGTTACTCTACTACTACTACTATTACTATTACTGTTATTACTACTACTACTTCTAATGTCAAAGAGACTATGATGATGATGGTCATAATAACGATAATGATAATTCCATTACTCAATTACAATAATGCTGACATCATTAATCACAGATCTGATAAATGGCTTACCGTAATGGTGATATCACGAATAATATAAAACTGACGAATGCCCATTATGACACCGGCCTATACCCCATTGTCCTATCTATCTTAACCAGACGTCGCCAACCATCTATCTATCACAGGTAATAACACACGGCCTCATGTACGTTGACATATAGCGTGTATTCTGATAGCATCGCCCCGTTCTTTGCGGAAATTATAACGTCATAAGCGAGTGTTGTAACGTAGAGGGAATCGATGTCATCTTTAGGAGACCTCAATAACATCTGTGTCAACACTGAAGGTCAAGAAAGTGTCGAGTAAAAGTATCTTGGTGTTTGTGATCAATGTGAGAGGGTCGGTCGGTTCGAGGAAGGCGAATTTCTGTCGGTTATTTTTTGAGTTTGGAAATTGGGAACGGGAAAATTGGGGGGGGGGATTGGTGGGTAATTGGAAGAGTTGAAAATATTGGAAATTGGAAAGTGAAAATTGGGGGGGGGGGAATTGGAGGTGGGGGGGAAGAGTTGAAAAGATTTGGAAATTGGGAAAGTGGAAAATTGGAAAAAGGTGGGGAATTGGAAAGGTTGAAAAGATTAAAAAAAAAAAAAAACGGTTTTATAGGAACTGGAGAGGTGAAATTTTGTTAAAAGTGGAAAT